CATCTCCTCCTCCTCCATGCTGCAAGCTCCACTACCTTCTTGCACTGATGATGTTACCTAGTTGGGTCATGAAACGTCTGCAAGAAAGAGAGCACCAAGGACCCCTCAGTTCAACCCTGAGCTCCAGAGATTCTCTTCTGTTGACATTTTGAAAATCCATCAGATACTTTCTTTTGTTGTGTTTTATCTGTACACAATACAAGATGGTTGGGGTTGAGGAGGTATAAGTGGCAGATCCAAATTCAGTTCATTTGCTTTGTGGTTAAGTGGGCCTTGAACCCAAGTCCTCCTGAATCCAGAAGCAGACTAACAATTTAACCTCTGTGGGTGGTTGTGTGCAGCTATTCTGAACTGCAGCTAAATAACTCTTTTTTTATCAGCTACTAAAACCAAATTAATCTTTGGAAAGCCACTGACCTTCAAAGTTTTTTTTTCAGTGGTCTTCCATTGCATTACACTTTTAATAAATGTGTTTATGAAATTCTCTCCCCTCCCACAAGAGTGCTTAAAAATGTGGGGATGATTCATAATAACATGATAAAACCACTGTTCGTTTAAACCAGGAAATGTACAGAAACTGCTAAAACTTCCCTGTGTTAAATACTCTTGCAGTATCTCTAAAGCAGAAGTGAAGATTTTTGGGAATTGTAGCCTCTCTTGTCTTCTCAATAGTCTTTTTTTCCTTTCCTTTCCTTTCCTTTCCTTTCCATAGGGCAATTACATGAGATGATTAGGCTATCGAAATCAAATCTGATTAACTCTGTGCATTGTCTCCTTCGAAGTATTTTATTTATTTTATTTTATTTATTAAATTTATATACCGCCCTATCTCCCTTGCGGGACTCAGGGCGGTGAACAGGCGATACTAAAAACCACAAATAAATAAATAGTTTCTGTTTTAAAATCGAATTGAATAATAGGCCTGTTCTAAAAACACACCCATACAAAACCCCCCACTGAAACACAATCCAAACTACGCCAGGCTTGAATATTAGCCTGGGATTTGGTTTGGGAAGTCCGGGGGGGTGGGGGGGGGTAGGGTTTTTACATTGTGATGTATTTGTGATGTGCTTTTTTTTATGATGAAAATAATAAAAAATTTATATTTGGCAAACTACGCCAGGCCGGCCGCACGGAATAGATGGGCCTTCAGGGCTCGGCGAAAAAGGCGCAGGTCCGCAACTGTACGTAGGTCAGGGGGTAGGTCATTCCAGAGGGGTAGTTGTTTGTTTTTGCAATTCATAAAAGTTTATGCGTCCTGAAGTTTAGGGAATTAATCTTTGAAAGTATTCAGTAGATGGTACTAAACCACTGCTACCTTTTTTTTTTGTTTAAGAGAGTTAACAGGCTAAAATGAGCTGCTTTGCGCTTCCACCGTGGTCCTTCTTCCCCCAATTAGGATCGGCTGCTGGTGCTCAGAGACCCGTCCACGATTTTCAGCCCGGAGGCTTAAACGTTCTCTTTGTGATTGCGGACGACTTGCGCCCGGCCCTGGGGTCTTATGGGGACCCCCTGGTGAGATCACCCAACATCGATCAGCTGGCCTCTAAAAGTGTGGTGTTCCAGAATGCTTTTGCCCAGGTAATTGATGTCATCTTCATTATTTATTTAATTTTTCTGGGAGGGGGTGTCTTGGTTGTCTCTGCTATCTGAGCAACATCACAAATCAAGTTTTCCTCCCTCCCTCCCTCTCTCTCTCCCTCCTTCCATCTCTTTCTCCCCCTCCGTCGCTCCATCTCTCTCTCCCTCCCTCCCTCCCTCCCTCCCTCTCTCTCTCTCTCTCTCTCTCTCTCTCTCTCTCTGTGTGTGTGTCTTTTTTTGCCTCCAGCAAGCTGTCTGCGCCCCAAGCAGAGTCTCCTTTCTCACGGGCCGTCGACCCGATTCCACCAGGCTGTATGACTTTAACTCGTACTGGCGAACACATGCAGGAAACTACACCACGTTGCCGCAGTACTTCAAGGAGAATGGGTATATTACCCTGTCCGTTGGGAAGGTTTTCCACCCAGGTGAGCTTCCCACAGTTTCCCAAGACCTGGGGGGTGGGTGGGTTCTGTATGAAAGCGTTCAATATCCAGATCCAAGGATTGGGGCCAATCTCTGTTCTGGCTTTCCGTTTCTCAGGCATCTCCTCAAACCATAGCGACGATTATCCGTACAGTTGGTCCATCCCGGCTTTTCATCCGTCTTCTGAAAAATACGAAAACACGAAGGTAGACGGGCACGACGGTTGTTGACAATCAGCGATCACTGATCATACAGGTCGTCCTCGGCTTAATGACCACAATTTCTGTGGCTAAGGAGACATTTGTTTAGCGAGGTTTGCTCCATTTTGCCACCTTTCTTGCCGCAGTCGTTCAGAGGATGACTGCTGCTGTTTTAAGTTAGTAAAACGGTCGTTAAGCGCAACTGGCTTCCCCCACTGACTTCGCTTGCCGAAAGGTCGCAGAAGGGGATCAAAGGACCCCCCCCTCGGGACGCTGCGGCCGTCATAAATACGAGTATTTATTTTATTTTATTTTTATTTTATTTTTATTTTTATTTTATTTATTTATTTATTTTTATTTATTTTTATTTATTTTATTTATTTTATTTATTTTTATTTATTTTATTTATTTTATTTTATTTTATTTTATTTTTATTTTATAATTTTATTTTATTTTATTTTATTTTTATTTTATTTTTTTATTTTATTTTATTTTTTTATTTTATTTTATTTTTTATTTTTATTTATTTTATTTTTATTTTTTTATTTTTTTATTTTATTTATTTTATTTTATTTTTTTATTTTTTTTATTGAAAAATTTTATTTTATTTTATTTTTATTTTATTTATTTTATTTTATTTTTTTATTTTATTTTATTTATTTTATTTTATTTTAT